GTGTACCACCTAAACATGGTCTTCCATGTCTGTTCTTGTAGCGTAACACATATGGAGGCGTTTTTATTTGCTTCCCAAATTTCTTGCCATTCTACGCCTTCTAGTTCTTCTCCTAGTTCTATCTCCCATTGGTCGGTGTAAGATAGCCTCCCCCATTCTTTGGTTTCTGCGCTAAGGTGGGCGTACATTAGGGTTATCATACCCTTGGGGGTCCTTTCGTGAAGGCATAGTTTCTCGTAGAACGTCATATGTCCTTGAGCTGCAGCCTTTATGTGTGATTTCCTAGCGAAGTCTCGAATCTGTATATATCTGAAGAAATCCGCGGGAGTTAGGTGGTTGTCTTGTTGAAGGTCCGTAAATTGGATTAAGTTCCCATTATGATATAATTGATGGATCCGTTGTAGACCCGTTCTCTCCAAGTTTCGGAAATCTTTAGGAGCCATACCGGGTTGGAACTCTCTATTTCTTAGAATTGGGGTCAATGGAGAGGGGGAGGATGCTAGTCCATACTTGGTTCTGTTTTTGTCCCAGATTTGGAGCGAATTAAGTATGGACGGGCAAGTCACCCGTATCAAGGGTCGGTGGTCTTTCGGGATCCACATAGTGAACTGGGGGATGTCCCATCCCACCATCATGGATTCTATTTCGACCCATCTCCGCTCTTCCGGAGGGGAATGCCACATAGCTATCTGTGTTAGTTGGGCTGCAAGATAATAGAAGTATAGGTTTGGGAGGCCCAGTCCCCCTCTTTCTTTTCGTCTGTAGAGAATCTGTCTTGATATCCTGTGCCTCTTGTTCTGCCATATGAAGTCAGCTATCGACCGTTGAAGTGGGTTCAGTTGTGCTTTGGTAACGTGGATTGGGAGAGCTTGGAATAAGAATAAAATCCTCGGGAGGACGTTCATTTTAACAGAGTTAATCCGTCCTATCCAGGAGATAGGCTTATCCGTCCACCGTTCTAAGTCTCCTATCAACTTCCTAATTAGGGGGCCATAGTTCTCGGAATAGAGGCGTGTCGGGTCCGTAGTTAGGTGTATACCCAGGTATTTCATAGACTCTCTTTCCATCCTGATACGGTAGGTCAGTTGTATGTGATTTATGTCTGCCTCAGTCATGCCAATTGGCATAGCGCTAGATTTTTGCATATTGGCATTATAACCAGACCATTCCCCGTAGTCCTTGATAACGTCTTGGAGGGCCGACATGGATGTCGAGGGGTTCGTGATGGTCAACAGAACGTCGTCTGCGTATGCTGAGACTGTAAACTTTTTGTCCCCTACCCTGACTCCTCCAATATCTGGATGTTGTCTGATCGCTTGCATCAAAGGCTCTAGTGCTAGTACAAACAGGAGTGGGGAAAGTGGGCACCCCTGCCTAGTGCCATTGTAGAGCCGAAAAGGTGTCATCGGGGCACCAGTGAGCTGTATCTGTGCTCTCACCTCATGGTTCATTGCTTTTGTAGTAGTTATGAATTCTTTCGGGAACCCCAGGTGGTTCAGCACCGAAAAGAGGAATTGCCATCTCACTCTGTCAAAGGCCTTTTCTGCATCTATAGAGACCACTAGGGTAGGGATTTTAGATGTCACTTGTTTCCAGATTAGGTCAATATTCCTTCTAGTATTCTCGAACAGCTGTCTGCCCTGAATAAAGCCTACTTGGTCGGCATGTACGAGTGAGTTTAGTAGCGGATTTAATCTGTCTGCTTGTATTTTTGCTGTTATTTTTAGATCTTGGTTAATCAATGATATGGGTCTGTAGTTTCCTGGTTGGAGCGTGTCTTTGTCAGGTTTAGGTATCAGTACTATGGTAGCTAGGGTCATGTCTGGAGGGAGAAGTCCTCCCTGTTTCATGTAGTCAAAGAGTTTCATTAGTTGGGGTGTAAGTTCTTCTTTGAAGGTTTTATAGTATGTACCTTCGAACCCATCCGGGCCTGGAGCTTTGTTACCTTTCAAGGTAGATATGGCTTTGTATACTTCTTCCTCTGTAATTTCGGCTGACAGGTTGTTCACCGCGTCTCTCCCTAGTTTGGGCAGGCCGAGGTTATTTAAGTAGCTGTTAATATGGTCTTCTTCACTTCCGTCAGGAGTGTGTGCGTCTGGTGTGTGGTTGTACAGTTTTTTGTAAAAGTCTTCAAAGACTTTGGCTATCTCGTCGGGCTTTGATTTCGTCGTTCCATCCGGATGTTTGATGGCCGTGATGTGGGATCGTTCTTGTCTAGGTCGCAGTGTTCGGGCTAGAAGTGAGTCCGTCTTATTGGATTTCTCGTAATAAGTCCGTTTCGTCCATATCATGGATTGAGCGGTATCGTCCAGTAGGAGTGTGCGGATGTCCCTCCGAGCCGCTACCAGTTTCTTATAGATCTCATTGTCGGGTGTTGCTTGATGTTTTTGTTCAAGATTCCTTAATTGATCTAACAGGGTCTCCAGTTGCTTATGTTTCATTTTCTTTTTCTTAGTGGCTAGTTTTATAAGGGTCCCTCTTATAACCACTTTATGGGCCGCCCATATCGACCCTGCGCTAACATCCGGGGTATTATTTGTGGTAAAATATTCCAGTATTTCAGTCCGTATCTGTTCTTTGAGCTCCGGGTCTCTTAGTAGCGATGTGTTTAATCTCCACGTCCACGGCGAGGCCAAAAACAAGTTGCCCAATATAATGGACACGTCCGCATGGTCCGACCATGATATATTGCCAATCGCAGAGCTTGTAATCCTGGGCATGCCTGTCGCGTTAGTTAGGAATAAGTCTATCCTGGAGTATGTGCCATGAGGTGTTGAGTAGAAGGAGTAATCCCTGTCTCCTGGGTGGTGTGCTCGCCATACATCTGTTAGGCCCACATCTAGTATAAAGTTTTTGAGCAGTCGGTCTTGTCCACCCCTTCCATGGGATCTCGGTGTTCCGTCTTTAGTGCTCCTGTCCGCTGCCGGGCATGGGGTGGCGTTGAAATCTCCTCCCATATAGACCATGCCATGTGGAAGTAAGGAGATTTTCTCTCGGAGGGTGGTCCAGAACGAGGGGTCTGGTTGGTTAGGGGCATACACATTAATCAGGTGTATGGTATGTGAGTACAAGGTGCCCGATACTATAATGTATCGGCCGTTTGGGTCTGTTTCTTGGTTCGTCTTGCGAAACGGGCAGCTGTTCCTGATCAGAATAGCTACTCCGTTGCGTTTGCATTGTGATCTTGCTTCACATGATCCTCGAAAGATATGGTCTTTTAGGTTTATATTGGCTTGTTTCGAGAGGTGGGTTTCCTGGATATAGGCAATATCCGTCTTCAGTCTCTTCAGTTCCTTAAACATAAGGCGGCGCTTCTTAGGAGCATTAATTCCTTTAACATTCAATGACGTGATTTTAATCATCGCGACGTGTTTGGTTAGGTCTTTTATAGCCGTTCGGGGACCCGGGTCCTTCCACGTCTGGCTCAGTGTCATGTCTTGCGCCTCCCCGGGCACCCCTCCGCCTCCACCGCTCCTCCAGGTCGCACCACACATAAATAGGAAAGAAAAGAGAGGATAGTAAAGAAGAAGAAGAAGAAAGACATCCGAATCGAGTCAGATGTATAGATGTAGAAACTCTGGTCTTACTCTTTGCCAGGGTTTTTCTGGGAGCATGTTCCTTCATCCCGTCCACGGTCAACGTAAGAAGGGATTAGGGATATGTGGGTTCCGTCACGCGTGTGCCTACACAATGTAAGTTGACCTCTTATTTCTCTTATCTGAGGTAGTATATGACTAGGGATTTGTCCTATCGGGACCCCTCTATCAGTCTTTCCTGGTTATTGATGTGTGGGTGTTTGGGGGGCGCGATCAGCAGGGTTCTTTCCGTCCCTGATCCCCCTCCCCCCGCCCCGTATCCCCTCCCTCTCAAGGCGGGACTCTCCAGTTCCTACGCTTTCTCTCAGGCGTTCAGTCCATGAGGTCGCGTTGTAATTGTCCGGTGTTTCTTCCCAAGGTGTTTATCCGACCACCCCCCCTTTTTTCTTCCAAGTGGTTAGGTGTGAGGATATATACATACAGGAAGTGCTACCCTGACCGTTACAATCCTATGCGTCTATTGTGTGATGTTGGTGTTCGTGGGATCACGGGTTGGTAGTGTCAGTATGGTCATGCATGTGAGGGTATAACCGATTTGTCCTGGTTCCTATCGGGGGTACTTCCCATGTAGGGAGGGTCGCCTGGTAGGTGGTTAGGAGGACAGGCTCAGAGGGGATCGAAGACAGATTCAGCGTCTTAGTGGTCCTAGAAAATAATTAATTATATATTTATTGTTTTTTTTATTTTTATTTTTATTTTTTTATTTATTTTTTTTTTTTCCTTTTTTCTTCCCCTCCTCTTTTCCTTTTTCTTTTGGGTGTATGTGTGAAATTTTGTAAGAGTATGGTCCCCCCTCTTTCTCTGCTATATATATGTAGTATCAGGGGTGATAGATGTTGGGAGCCTGCCACTGTATAGAGGGAGCATGGTGTCGCGGGAGAAGGATCTCCGAGGAAAACCACGGGACGGGGAGGGGGGGGGAGATCGATGAGATCATTACAGCGGTAGGGTTTTAGATAGGACTAAAGAATGGTACCCGACATGGGTAAGAGTCTGGGGTGGTTATAACTTGGGTAAAGTATAGGTAACCAAAACGATTTTCACCTCTATCTATCTAATGTACCCCATCATAACATTACATATGTATAAAACATCAACAACACTCCTTTCCCCCCTCCCTCCCCTTTTTTTTTTTTCCTTCTTTTTCCCTTTCCCCCCCGGACAGTAGGTAGAGGATCGTGAATAGTAACAGGGTTCAGAATATCAAGGGACATGCAATATTACTGTGGTTTAGAGAAATAATGATGAGATGATGTAGTCTGATGCAGGCCTACACGCCAAAAAATTAGGCGGATCCGGTTCCCACCAGGCCTGGGTGTCAATGAAACCTCCACCTTGGTAAAAGTCCCGAGGGCCCTCACAGCCTGTGGGATCAGCTGTCAGGTTGAGTCCTGTAAAGGGCTGCTTGAAGCCTATTGCGGTACCCCCCACAGCCCTCCCAAAGCAAATCGCGAGGGGGCCAGACCCACTCCCGTATTAGCCTCCTCGACAATTTAAGGTAGGGCACTGGCATGTATCATAAAGTAACATAATATTGAACCTACAGTTAAAACAAGAATGGAGGATTGGCTGAAAAGGGGGGCTAGCCAGGGCAGGTTTCGATGTAAATCCCCTTAGAGTTCCAGTCAGAGTACGAAAAAGGGGGCTAGTGTCGGCTCTCATCACAGCGAGGGGAGAACTAATTTAAACTGAACAGTCTCCGTGGAATATGAGGTGGGGTATAAGGCGGTGGATGGTGTTGTGTGATGTGTGTATTATACGATACCCACAGTGCTTCAGCGATGGCCTCTAGCTCCGACTTCTTGCCACTCTGTCTGTAGTTGTTGAAGCTCGGTAGGGTGCAGAGAGATATCTGGAAGTCGGGGGGGTGGTTGTAGGCCGAGGTTCCTAAAGAAGCGTTGGGGATCCCCTCCCGGCATCAGGATATGTGAGCGGTCTCCCCGGAACACCATAAGCTTGAAGGGGAATCCCCAGGCATATTTCAGACCTGCGTCTCGTAGGGCTGCTGTGATAGGCCTCCACTCTCGTCGTCGTTGAAGTGTCGACGGTGCCAGATCCTGGTATAAGGATAATGTGGCCCCTGCGTACCGTAACGGTGCATCTCGGCTTTTCCCCATCAGCGCTTCCTTCGTGCTATAGTATAGGAAGCGGACGATTACGTCCCGCGGGGTGTTGGTGTCGATCTTCTGAGGTCTCAGGGCTCTATGTGCCCTTTCCATGTGCCACTGTTCCTCCGATAAGGCGGGCAGGAGAGGCTTTAGAGCGGATAGTAGTATCCCCTTCAAATCTTCGTCTTTCTCCTCGGGGAGACCCCGAATGCGGAGGTTATTTCTCCGTGACCGGTTGGCCATGTCTTCCAATGTTAGGTCGGTTTCCACCAGATGCGATGTCATACGATTTACTCGGTCAATAAGCGAGTTGTGGGCTAGCGTAGTGGTTTCCATGCGCTCCTCCAAGATGGCCGTGCGTTTTCCCAGGGCCCCTATCTCCGCTTGGAGAATTGCCGTCGAGTTGGCTATTTCTCCTGCCAAGAAGGCCCTGACTTCAGCGAGTTTGGCCAAAACGGTGTCTTGGTCGTTGACTGGGGCTTCCCTGGCCGCCCTCGGTGATATTTGTGGGGAGTTCACGTCGCCATCTTGACTTCCTGCACGGCCTTGTTTGTGCATGGGGAAATGGTCTAGGACGGAGCTGGAGGTCCCAATTTCGGCCGTTTTTTTCCCTTGCTTCTTAGGGGGTCTTTTCTCCATGTCGGGGGTTCCCGTGAGGGGTGATGTATCGATTTTTAGGTCGCTTTTGAATGCTTTAGGCACAGTTGCGGCGGAGCTCTACCGAAACACGTCCAGTCTCATTGACGGCTCGGCCACGCCCCCACTTTATTCACTTTTTACATGTGTTTTATGTGAAGAGACTTTTAGTTTTTATTAACTATTATACTACACATGTATATATTTCACTTTTATTTTTGGACATTAGATTTTCTTTGTAGTGGCACTTTTTCATATTTTGAAATCTTGACTGTGGTAAATTACCAAACTCTATAAATGATTATCTACGTATACAAATATAAACTCTGGTCCGTCTACTTTAACAAATATTTATTCAGAGACAAAACAACATTATTATACATGAACGTGAGTGGGAAAGATGTAAGGGGGAAAAATGTATTCGCAAATTCTCATACCCATAACTATTTAACCCCCTGCGGATAGCCAAATAGAACAAATAGCATACATTGTCACTTTATTATTTATGCCATCTTCACTCAAAGCAATCTAATTTCCCTATATTCTTAATGACAAAAAACAAAAAAAACAAAGCATCAAAGATGGAGAGAGAAGAAAAAAGGTAGATTGAATGCTACCATTACACAGTTTGGCAGCGTGCAATCTATAGAAAACTGTCTGTTGCTATTCAAAAATCAAAATCAAAAATCAACTTGAGGTTATATTTGTTGGGAACCAAATACAAAAAAAATGCTTTTAATGTTTTTACTGTTGTAAACCAACAGAAAGTTACACTATCACATCTCTCCAGTGTGATCAAATATAAGCCTCACGTTGGCAACAATTCACTTAATCTATGAATTTATAATTATTAAGCCAGCATCAAAAAAATAAATAAAACTTAGCTGGCAGTGCAGACGTGCTAAACTAATAAAAACAAACATTGTTTGGAATTTGGCCCACCTGACTGTAAGGAATGAATTTAGAGGCTTATCCTTAATATGAAAAAAAAAACCATTACCAAAAGGGGATGCTTCAAGTGCAGTGGCTGTGTCACTTGTAGTCACATGGTCAGTGGTACTTCATTTGCCCATCCACATAATGGCCAACGAATAAACATTTCTCAATATATTACATGTACTACTGACCATGTGATCTATATGATTACATGCCCCTGTGGTTTGTCCTATGTGGGAAAAACTAACCTAACCCTCAGAGACCGGATACGGGGTCATCGATCTACCATCACTACTGCGTTCCGAGATAAGACAAGCGATAAACCAGTCGCCAAACATTTCTTGGACTATGGCCACCGACTACCAACTCTACGTTTTACTGCGATTGATCATATACCCACACTTCCGAGAGGAGGAGATCGTTCCAAAATGCTATTACAAAGAGAGGCCCGTTGGATACACCGTCTTGATACTGTAACACCTAAAGGACTCAATGAAAACATCGTCTATTCTATATTTCTATGACGTTAAGGTCCCATACTGGAATTAATCTCTTTGAGAGTATTTACTCTGACTTGGATATTGTCCATTATAATAGATAATGATTTAGTCTATTATATTATATTATAACATCGATATGCATATGAGCCTAAATATGATTATGCTACATCTGCTCTCCTTTCTACACACTCTTGTATATACTTGTTTTTTTCTATATAGTCACAACTTGCACTATATTAGGGTTTCTATGTGACTAACTTCGACCATCTGTGATCATGTCTCCATTTGGAAATTCTAAAAAAACTTCTTTGCATTTAATGATACTCTTGGGTTTACAAACCTTTAACAGAACCGTATTATTCAACTAATTTCTTTTTGAACTATTTAATACAATAATGTCTAGGAGTAATAGTGATAAAAAATTCTTCTATGGCAGCATAATGCTGCTTTTAACTTTAGTTTCAATCCTTCTATTTAGGATTTATTGATATAGACCTTTTCTTATTTATATAAGTATTGAATATTAATCTCACTAATACCTATCACATAATTTTTTATTAGTTCGAACATATAGGACTCTATTTTAAATTCTTGACATTGGAAGTCTATGTATGAGTCACTAATCACTTAGGATTTATATATATTTCGAAATTTTGATGTTTATTATATGGCACACACACTCATTTATCAGTAATCACGTCATATACACACATAACTTGCATTCGCCGGAGCTTTGTACTACCGGCTCTACACTACTAATTATTTACACTTGGTTCCCTAGCAACTACGTTTTTTACGTATGTTGAACGTGGTCACGTCATCACGTAGCTCACGTGGTGCCCGTCGGACACTTCCGGGTTCCAAGCGGGGGGAGGAGGGTTACAACCACTATTGGTGAGTACTTTACATCTCTTCTTATATAAATCATGTTTTTTAATGTATGTATTGATCTTGAGGAAGACCCGAATGGGTTGAAACGTCGATCAACTTGTCACATTTTAAATAATGAAATAAATAATTTTGGAAAATTTAAAGACCGAAGAGTGCATCTGTAACGGAGCTCCTTGTACTCCGACTGAGTACCCTCCGTTGACGGATGCTCCTAGCGCTTCCTGAGGACTCCAAGCGCTGCAGCAGACACCACAACCACCGCAGACTCCGCAACCGCCGTATCTTGACTGGAGTCTCGCTGTCTTCCTTCCACCCTGGATCAGCTTCTGTCCTCCAGGACTGTGTGGGAAAGAACTCTTCCTTTCACCCTGTACGAACCTCCAGCATCCAGGACTGTGTGGTGAAGACCCCTCCTCCAAGGAGAGCGTGTCAGGAACAAGCTCTTAAAAGAGCAAAGTGACTCAAGCTCAGGGGAGCATGCAGAGCATAGCAATCCCCAGTGATTATAACAGCTCCCTCCAATAACGAGACAAGGCTACGTTTAGAGGGATCAAGAAGAACTGTCAAAACCTTTATTCCCTTGGGACCAGCCAATACAGTCACCACAATAACATTGTTGTGAAACCTCAATAAAATCACAAACAGTCAAACCATATCAAGAAACACACAGTGACTTATCACAACACAATGGCACATTTTAAAAGGTGGGGGGAGACAATATTTAACAGTAAATATCTCACCTGCCTGCAGAATTAGCAATATGCAAATCTACCCGAATATGCAAATGAACCAGTCTTGCAATTCAGGTAGTGCATATTGCTGTTGCTACCAACAGAGGGCACTAGACAAGCTCCATAGCCAAACCCACCTAGCTGGTAGCAAACCTCAGCAGTACAGGAGAGAAGGCAATACATTTCACAGTACACACACACACTATAAACAATTACATTACACACACCCTGCATCTATAATGGGTACAGGGTGACTAAAACATAAGATAAATAAAGCAGCCTACATAAATAGTCTGTCTGAAGGTAGAATAGGGGCTTTAAAGCCAAATACATCAAAGAGTCATAGTCACAGGGGAGGAGGCTGGCAAGCAGGCCTCTGCAGTACCAAGTGGCGAAGGGCACTTCGTCACAGCATCCTTCATACCCATCTACTATATTATTTCACCGTGGGATTGCACCACGGCATTGGATTTCACAGTGTATCAGTAAGGGTGAGTGCCATTATATATATATATATATATATATATATATATATATATATATATATCAATACATACTAAGGTCCTCTTTAAACTGGAGTGTTACGAGATAATGGTGAGACAGATAAAATATAGAAACAAAAGAAAAACAAACATACATACAGATGTAGAGGACAACAAAAATTATTGGAGTTATTCATTGCTGGGGACCCACAATTGATCAATATTTCCCTCCCTCATCTGTTCCCTAAGCGCTTTCACGTCTGCCTCCAATCTCTCAGTCTGTCTCTTTAGGTCCCAATAGTCTCTATTCCCTTCTTTATTCCTCCAAATAGCCCAACACCAAGGGCTGTTGAGGTTGGCGTAGTGTATACCAGAAAAATATCCTTTGAGCTACCTCTCTAGGACCATCTGCTGGCCTCATCGTAATATTAGCTATTTCTTTCCCTATGCTGAGTAGATAGAAATTAGTTGCAGCAATTCTTCCTGCCTGATCAGACACACTGTTATTGAATCCCAATAGTCTACTAGCCAAAGGACCAGTAGCATATTCTAAAAGTTCTGTCCATTCCTCTAAGTTAAGACCTCCTTTTTTAGCTCAATTTGCCCCATCATAAACCAGTGTGTAAAAGTATTAAAGTTGTTATTTGGCATACTTCTCCACCATTTCTGGAATTTTTCTTTGTCTGTGATTGACATAGTGCTTGTCTGTCTAGAGAAACTCGTAGGCTTTTTTCTTGCATTAAAGTGTTCAGTTATTATTAAAGGGG